AGAGCTGGTAAGGAAAAGCAGCAGCACAAGATAGCAGCTGAGTCTAGAATACAGTGCTTTATCATTTTCCAGTGGATACACATACAGTGAGCCCAGATTTTCTCCAGTCTGCTTTTTGATAGGAGACACCTGGATTGTTGGTTGGACCTAAGAATGCCAAGCTCTGCCCTAACCTCCTGACTCTCAAAGTGTACCAAAGGGACCTGGGATTCTAAATTTTTAAGAAGTGCCAGATGAATCTAATCACAGGTACTAGCAGACCTTCACCTGTTGGCCAAGTTCAGTGATCACCCACCTTATACTGCTTTCTTTCAGTTGGTAAGCTCCTGACCCAAATGGCTTAAAAGTTTCATGTCTGACTTTCTAGGTAGGAGCCCATATCAGCATTTCTCAGTTCAGAATCAGCAACAGAATTACCTACTGAGCTTTAAAGACAAATTTAAGAAGCTCTGGACTCACTTGGACCAACTAATCAGAACACCTCAAATTGAAAACCAGGGCTTTCTTTTTTTAAGGTCCTACAGGGGATTCTGATGAGCAGCAGCTTTGAGGGCATTGCCAACCTGGGTCCTTTCAGAACGCCCGGGAAAGACCTTCCCATACAATGAGGTAGGGAAGGCTCAGGAGTACCTCTGGAGCCCATGACACACGGTGTCACCATTAACATAACATGCAGTCTTTCCAGTCATGTGCCTGCCTAATATCTTAGATCCAGGCAGAGGGGAAAATTTCACAAAGTTGTTATAAAGCCAACCACTCTGGGAGAGTGAGATTCACAAATTTTCCGAGACAAAGATCAAAGGAACCACTGAATCAATAATTGTCATGTTAGATTGGGTGTTCTCCACACCATTTTAGTCATATCACACCTCTGTCCCTCCTGCCTTCTCAGCCACATACCTTTGTACTCATTTATACACTGTTAATGCAGTTGTTCTCACGGGATCACATTTTGTTTAGCTGAGCCTCATCTTCTCTCTCCATGGACTTGGGACTCCACGGAGGATGGGGAGCTTGTTCCCAAGCTAAGTTCCCAACACCTGCACAGTCTTAGGTGCACAGGTGCTCAGTAAGGCCTATACAATTGACACGGCCAGCTCTCAATCCAGAGCTTTTCCCTACACCCCACAGGGCCTCTTATCTCATGCATGCATATGGAGATGGGCATGACATTCTGGAGACAGAAGAAAATAAACATCCTCAGGTGGTGTGTCCTGGCACATTGACATCTAGGGGACTCAAATCACTCAAGACTAAATAATATGGGTGATTATGTGGTGTTCCACTGGCAGCTCTAACTCATACCATCAAAGCCAACAGTCTTCTAGTTTTCATAATGTATGTTTCTCAAGAGTATCAGGAAATACATTGGTACTTTTCAAATTGACTCCAGTTCACCTCTTATTTTTATTTTCTGACCTGTGCTGAAATAAGGAGTGAGTCTAGAAGCAGTAGAAAATAAGCTGTCTCCTTGCAAGTAGATTCCTATGGCACTACTAAAAAAACTGCATAGCAAGCTCCATGCTAATAGCTTTTAGTTATGCTTGCCTAATGATGCCCAAGCTCTTAGAGATTTGTTATGGGTCCTCTTTGCTTCCCATTTATTACTATGCTATCCTTTCTTGTTGGTAATTAGTAATGCTTTGAATTCAATGTATAACTTGACAGGTAACTTAAACAGTCGTAAAGAGTTTTTTTCTCAATAAGGTCAAGAGTGTTCCGTTATTGTCCATCATAGCTTTGCTGTTTCTCTGTATTTTATTTTGCTTTCTTAAACCATATGATGGGATTGTATTTTGGTGTTCTCGGATGAATTATTACTGGTACTGATACTTAGTTGCATTATCAAGGATACTGGTACTTAGTTGCACATGTAATCTAGGCTGGGTATTTTGTGTTTCTCAAATATATTTACACAGTACTAAAAGTTATTCTTTGGTGGGGTAAGAGAATAGAGCACATGCAGCTACCGAAATAGAAATGGATGGAATAATTGTGTATTTAGTATCTTTATATTGGCTAAACTAACAGCTCATATTTTGGGGTTTTTTTCTCTTTTAAGACAATTTTCTGAACACATTTTCTATTTTTTGCCATTCATAACAGAAGCTCTATGACTCTGCTCAGGCTACCCTTTGCCCATGCTGATACCTTCACAAGTCTTCCAGCGACCAAGCCTACAGTTCTTTAATCTTCCTCTGTTTTTAATGCATAGCTATCAAATCTATATTCACTATGTGCTTTGAGAAATATGAATTTTAAAATGCAATAATCCATTACCAAAATGAAGGAGTTTAGTTTAATGTATCTTTACCAATAAAGACAGAATTCCCTCTTTATCTCTGTTCAGCTCAAACATGACATCATTGTGAAGTACAGGTGCAGAGTTCTGAAGTCACTGTATCTTTGGTTATTAAAGAAAGGCATTTTATTAACTAAAGCCTCAGAATAGAATACATTTCTTCTGCTATCCATTTATTAAGTCAACAAGCTAAGTAATGACTACTTTTTTTTCTAATATGCAGCAGTTTCATGCATTTAGCAGTATTATTCTTGGAACAGATGTGTCTTTTCAAAGTCATCTTTCTTTCCTAAGAACATAGAATTTCTTTTTAATTGTATGCTTGTTAGCTGCAACTGCTTCAAAAGGTGTTTCTGAACACACCACTGAGATTGCTCCATACTGAGAGCCAAGTGACATGAAAACCACAATATCATCAAGAATGTGAGCAGCCAGCTTCCACAACAAGCACTCAATTAGCTCGTATTCTTTGGCTAAATATACTCCACAGGCAATGCAGTCATCCCAGTGCTTTGATTTCATAAGCCTCAGAAATACCTGGGAGTTATCTGAATGTGGCAGTATTAGAACTACAAAAAGATAAGCAGGAAGTATTTCACTTTCAGTCAGCAAACTGTAGAGTTTGACAGCAAAACACTGAAGGCTGTATCAGACTCCCTCCATGTTAATATTTTGGATAACTAAGCACATTAACTAGTATTTTACTCAGCACTTCCCTTTATCAATAAAAAGCATTCACAAAGAATGAGTATCTAAAGCACATTGGGCAGCTACTATTACTTTTATGATTTCCTCAATGCTAAGTGTTAACAAAGAACACCTTGCTACTATACTTTTGAAAGGCACAGATGGATCCTGCAACCAAATTGATACCACTTTTTTTCATATAAAAAGTATAATGTGTTCTAGGGTCACCTTCAAAATATAGTTAGGTTCTTTCCCTGGAATAGATACTTGGGATCAAGTGACTGAAAAAGCATGGAGAGGAAATACAATGATTGCTCAGCAGGAATAACGCAGTGCTGCTGTTGCGGCCCGCCTCTCTGCCCACAGCAAGGTCATGGACATTCAGCATGAGCCCAAGTGGTTTGTCAGCAGCAATGACCGGCATGATCCTGGCACCCGCAGAGCTTGTCTGACAGCTGCATGTGCTTCAGCCAGCACTCAGCAAGTGATCTGCGTGGTTCTGCTCTGCAGAGGAAGGCTCGCTCTGCAATTTCCCACTGAGTCATGAGGTCAAGTAAAAATTCCACTGATGTCTTTAAATAGTCTTGGCTTCAGCAAGCTAACATGGGTGAGGATAGTGGAGTGTGCCTGTGTGTTCCTGGCAGGGAGAGCTGGTCTCAGTTGCTGCTGGAGGGGGAATTTAGGAGAGACTTCAGCTGCTGCCCAGTGATACCGGTAAGATCTGTTCGCAATGGTTTGACTAAGAGAGAGCTCAGGCACAAATGTGCTAATGGAACTATGGTATCTGATGATAACAGTAGGAATTAGCTTTCGTCTTTTATGAGTGGAAAATTGACTGTGAAACCTGCTTGGAAAATCACCTGTCCTATTAATAAATTACATGAACCCCCTTTGAGCAGCTTGTAGAAGGTGGCTACTCCATACAAAAATTGCCCATGCTCAGAACCCACTGCCCCAGCACTTTGTTGTTTTTTCCCACATAGGGTGAAGGGAAGAGGGAGAGGAATTAGGGTGTGATGGCTGCAGTGAATAAGAGTTTGACTGATTTCTCCCAGTCCTGTTCTTTGGTTACTGTTCTTTGTTTATTGAGACATTGGGGCTCCATCTGGTCTACACTGCCCAGTGTGTTACCCTTACTCTAGCCCATCACTTATATTTCTCTCAGGAGAGATCACGACTTGCTGTACATTGTAGGAAACTATGTGGGTTTCTGTCCCTTCACCACATTGTGAACTCCTCAGTGGAAGGACAAGGGCTTTACTCCCCAAGGATTCCAAGCCCAGTGTAATAAAGAGAAGGTACCAACAAATACAAGTTCAACTGAATTAAGCCAAGGATACTAAGAAGGTAGACAAGCCTTGTCAGCAAACCCAAATTCTGTCTTGATATTGCATTGTTAGCTATATTCTGTAGTCAAAAGTACTGAGATACCTGAATAATTGGCTCTCCATTGATCTGTAGATTCTGTAGGTACTGTGCTTTCTTCACTGCTACCTCTTCATTCTAATTCTTTAATTTTCAATAAATAGTAATTTTTAGGGGTTCTTGACAGCAGTAACATCCAATGACCCTTGTGATAGAAACTCTAAAATTGGCACATTTAACTAACAGCTGTTTACTTTTATGATTAAAAAACAAATTTAATATTTTACAGCCTGTGTCCAAAAAGCTTTTAAATGTCACTAAAGTCATTTCTAAAATGTCCATATGTGAAAGCCAAGAGGCAAATATTACTCTTCTCTGAATGTTGGAAAGGTAATTAGTGTTGTGTGTGTGACTTATCTACACTTTACTTCCTCTTTCCTGCCTTTTGGGCATTTCTTTTCTCAGTTATTATCTCATCTCTGAGAGGGCAGATCCAGTAAGGGAGGAGAAGTGAAGTTAGAAAGGATGACAAGCATTGGCTGGCATCTTTAGAAAAGCTCAAGGACATGATCGTGGGTGCAAGACTACTGAGAAAGGAGGTTGAAACAGTACATTACAATTGGTTTTTATTTATTATCTGAAAGCTATCATGCTGTCCCAGTCACTCACCACCACACATAAACATGAGCAGTTTGCTTGTTACTCTACAGTCATTTTAGAGACAAATTTCCTCTGACTGTCCCCCAGAACTCAAGGGAAAAGCTCTGCCTGATTTGGTCATCACCAGGAGAGCACGGCTCCAGTTTGCTCTTTGGTCCCAAGTAATGCTTGCTCGAGGCTGATGCAGGAGCACGTCTTGCTGTTGCTACGTTATTATAGGTTGCAAATTCAAAGGTTGAAACCAGATGTTGCCAATGCCTCTGACCATACTTGGCACATGCTTAGTAAATATTTAACTTCTGAATTCCATTGAATCAGATCTGCTGACCATTATTCTAAGAATTGAATCCCACTGCTCCTCAGGAAAATTAGAGCAATTATTTCTCTTTGGATAAAACCAATTTATGCTTAAAATGAGATCAACATGATATTCTGGGGGTTATTAGGAACATAAAGAGTTAAAAGCAAATATTTGCTTAGAATGGCATTCAACGATAACTTTGCAAATATTAACAAGAGCCTTGACCAACACAGACAGTAAGAGGAGAAAGCATATACTAGAGAAGTACCCAGTTGACAGTCTTGTTGAATTGGCTGCTGTTCCTGCCTCCAGTGGCCCCGTCAGTTGTGTTTTTTGTCCTTCAAGTAGCTAACAAGCATCTCCAGGCCCCCCTCCACCAGCTCAGGCAGAGGCTTGGATAAAGGGTTATAGGAAATATGGAGCCCTTTGTCCATGGGATTCCAAGCAATCCTCACCAGTCTACACAGCAGGTAGAGTTCATCTGGGAGGGTCTGGATATCATTGTTGTTCAGGTTCAGCAGCTCCAGGCTGGTGAGGAGGCAGAGCGACCGTGGAAAGGAGTGGATGTTGTTGTTCTCGGCAATGAAGATCTGCAGGCTGCTCAGACACTGGATGCTCTCAGCGATGTTTTCCAGGCGATTGGAGCCCACATGCAAGAAATCCAGCTCTTTTAGTGCAAACACACAGATGGGGATGTGAGCAAAACAGTTGTTGCTGAGGTTCAGCTTCCGTAGTCTGGAGAGGTCTGCGAAGCTGGCGGGCAGCTGAGAGAGGCGGTTGTGTGACAAACTCAGGACTTCCAGGTTCCCACAGGCACTCAGCTCGGCCGGCACCTCAGCCAGACAGTTCATGTTGATGAACAGCACTTTCAGGCCCTTGAGGAGGCTGATTTCTTGGGGCAGACTCTTCAGGCAGTTCCCACACAAGTTCAGGACCACCAGCCTGGTCAGCCTCCCTACCTCAGGGGGCAGAACTCTGAGCTGGTTGTGAGACAGATTGAGTTTCTGGACCTCGGACAAGCCCCAAAGAAAGTCAGGGATGTCCGTCATTCCCTTGGTGACCAGGCTGAAGCTGATGTGGCACATGCCCCGTTTCAGCAGGGACCGGGGGTCCTTTCCCGAGAGCAGAGCATCATCCCACGGGGAGAACTTCTGCCTCCCCCGCAGGAGTGCCATGCCCCTGGGGTCCTTGTCCTTGGAACAGGCACTTGACTGCCTGGCCCCCATTTGCTATCCTTCCCACCCTCTCTCCCCTGTTGCCCAAAGGTTGGGAGGTATCCTACCCCAGCTGCTAAAAGCCTGGCTGTTCCAGGCAGGGAGTGCAGATGGAGGTGAGAACAGGACGGTGGCCAGGCAGTCCAGAGCGCAGAGGAAGGTCGGGGGGGGTCTGGGTCAGATGTCCAAGACACCCGCCGTGGCTGTGGACAGGCAGGGAGTTTAGGTGGTTTCTCTCTGAGTAGCCGGGCTGTAATGATACGCTTGTCCCTGAGGCTGCAGAACTGAACTGCCTGGATCCTTCTGTTTGCTGCAGGGCAGCTGTCACTGTCATTCTGCCTGGGTTTATCAGGCTGGTGTGTACAAAGAGGTCACCAGGAGGCTTTATCTTACTGTCCCCTCTCAGCTTTTCTTGGGTACCACAGCTGAGCAGGGTGATTAACAAGCCCGCCTCCAGAAAGAAGCAATGCAGAAAATTAAGTAGGCCAGGAAAGTGTCAGTCTACATGGTTGCTGGGACTCTTCCGGACTCCAAAGTGAACCTGGAATAAGTCCTGCTGATTGACAGAGTTTTTGTTTCCAAAGCTAAGGATCGTCAGATGATATGATATGCACTCATTTCAAACTTTGGTGAATTATGCAGTTGTGGAAAATTAACAGAAATAACCTGGACACCTGGAATCCTCCAGGCCAAAGTTTTTTACATGGCGCTTGTAAGAGGTGATTCAGTGAGGAGAGAATGAAGGGGGTCTGGACCTCCACTCTTATTTCAACCAGAGAAGCTCTGGAGTCCTCTGTTTTACAGGGAGTTCTGAGTTTAGTAGGGTGCACTTTAAATGTCTAAACAGTCTCTTAAGTGGTTGCCTTGGAAAGGTAAACACAGGGGCCCACTGTTCTGAAAAAATAATAAAAAGAGACCTCCCTGAGCATACACCTCTCTCTCTTTCCCTCTCTACCTGCCCTACCATTTTGAATTTTAAAAAAAGGCAACTTATACATTAAGTAAATAGAGGTAATTGTTGCTATTATGGGCTGAATTGTGTCTCCCCAAAATATCACATGTTGAAGTCCTAACCCCTAGAACCTCAGAATGTGACTACTTGGAGATTGGGCCCTGTGAAAGCACAGGTCTCAGGAGCAGCCAATCCTGCTGACACCTTGATCTTAGCCTTGTACCTTCCAGGTTTATGAGAAAACAAATTTCTATTCTTTAAGCCACCAAGTCTGTGTTATTTTGTTCCAGCAGTCCTGATACAGCTGGGGAGGAGGCAGACACACAGCATAGGTAAAACCTATAAAAATAGACAGTGATTAAGGGGAGAACCTATGAGTCGATGACCCTGGTTCTAAGAAAAGGGAATGCAGTCTCTAACAAGGGCTGGGCTGGCCAGGAAGCCTGTGGCTTTGCTAGCAGCAGCCTGTGTGCGCAGCCCCCAGCACAGCAGTTGTGTGTCCTGGAGAGCAATGCTGGTCCTATGACCATGGCCTCAGAGCTCTGATCACCGAGCCAGAAGCCTGAGCTGGGCCCTGACTGGGCATGGCCAGCGTCTGGGCAGGAGCAGCGGCAGGAGGTGTAAAGCAGGGCAAGGCCTTTTCTCACTCCACTTGGCATTTGAAAGAGACCTGACCCCTTATGACTGAGTAAGTCCCTGGGAATCTTGGACAAAGGTGCAGACTTTGGAGTTTTTTGTTTGGTTGTTTGTTTTTTAGTGGAATACTTGGGTGTTCTATTAATTGAAGGGAAAAAAGTAATGTAGCTAAATTTGTACAAGAAATTTTTGGAGCAAACCATGGCTTATATATGCATATGAGAGCAGGGTTCTGCTGTTTTATGAAAAGTCAGCTATGCTTCTTCTTTCCCTGTTTTCTTTCATAAGCATAAGAAATTATGCTAGAGTTCCTGAAATGTGGGGAAAAGCAGGAACTAGGACGGTGTGAACAACAATCAACAGCTTTCTTCTTTGTGGCAACTCTCTCTTTTCGTCTTGACACATTTTGTCTAATAAAAACTTTTTGAGCATTTATCAATAGCCAACATCTACTGAATATTTACTGTGGGGAAGGCAATCCACTAGGCACTTTACATGCAGGACAGAAGTACTAAAATTATCTGTATTTCACAGATGTGGAAACAAAGATGGGAAGAGCTCAAGTAACTTACACAAGACCAAGTCATTTGCCCAAGTTAAAGTATCTATCCAGTTAATAGCAGAAACAGAATTCAAACCCAGTTAGTCAGGCTCCACAGCCCACTGAAACCATAGAGGACTCTGGGCTTAGCCCAGAAAATAGAATAACTATGGCTAGATTGTGTATTTTTCTTTTCAAGTTTCTAAGGGCTAGGTCTGGAGAGAATATAGATAAAATGACTGCATAGCTACATGCATAGAAATAACTACATAATTAGGCATTTACCCTGTTTTCTCTACTCCATCACAGCTAGGAAGAGCAAAAGTTAAAATATCCTTCCAGAAGACATTGACGTAATGGATTTAATCCCCTCCAAAAATAGTTCAGTTCTTCTCTAGTGAGGTTCTCATATATCAAATGCATGAGCTGTGTGAATAGCTGACTTTATTTCTTCTAATTTTTTGAAATGTAGACACTGCCCACTTAGGTAACCATGGCTATGCAGTCACAGCATGGGTCACCCAGAGGACAGTCAGTCAGTCGTGGACTCTCAGTTCATGTCATCATCTATGAAACAGGCCCCCTGGGGGGATGATTTCCCAGAGCCCCTGCTCACTCTGCAAGTTGGATTCTCACTACACATGAGAGCACTGTAGGGAAGTCTAAGTCACGTTTAACCTCTTTTCTGGTGAAAGCATTCAAAATCCAAGGCAGCTTTTATTTTGCTTGCAATGATATTCGTCCCTGGGGAATAAAGAGTAACAGGGCTCCCTCCCTCCCTCTCTCCTCCCTTCCCTCCTTTTAATCCTCCCTTCCTTCCCTTCCGTCCTTCCTTCTTTCCTTCCTCCCTCCCTTTTTAAATAAACTTTTTTATTTAAAAGAAAAAAAACAGTAACGGAACACTGCTGCCTTTCGGATTCACTGTGGAGACCACACATCCGACTTTTGCTGAAAGAGACTTTTCAAGACTCTCTGAATGGATTTCAGTTTGGAATAAGTCTCAGAATGAGGCATTGTTGGACAAAGTTTTGAAAATCTAAGGCAAGGTAAGTAATGTGGCTGTTTTGAAAACCTACGGAAGTTATATGATAATTGAAATGTATTCAGTATGCTCAATGTACTCATATTTACTACTTTTTATACAGTCCAACTGAACATATAAAAATTGACATTTGTTATTTTTAATCCTAAATAAAATAAAACTGAAATGATGAGAGTATAAAATAGTAGATTAGGAAAACATCCAAAGCTACTCCTTAATTCACAGTAATGAAATATGTATTGAAAACAATTTTCTTTATCCTCAGGATAGCTTTTCTTTATCCTCAGGATGGCATGTCATGTTTGTTAATTCTGGAAGAAAGAAACATGTATGTTTAAATAATGTATTAAAATAACCATTTTACTGATTTACAATTTTTAGAATAGAGGTTATAGAAAAGTATGAAGAGAGTCAATCCAGTTTACATTTTGCATATGCAAGTCTAGATCATTTTCCTATGTATATCTTCTTCAATGTATTTCCTTTTGCCAAAAAAATTAAAACAAAACAATTTCTTTCATTTGTCATAGCCCAGGTTTTCTCAAAAGCAGAGCCTGAAACAAAAGCTGTGGGGCAAATGTTTTATTAAGGAGAACATCCAGGCAAGCTAAATAAGGGAGCCTGGAAAGTCAGACAAGCGAGGAGAGCAGGCAGGAGCCATGCATTCTGAGCTGGTCTCATCTTTGCATCAAGCACAGCCTGTTGCTAGGTTTCACAGGCATCTGCAGAGAGGCTCTATTAAACCACCATTTCTGAACAGCCCATGGTTAAACATCTGTAAAATGTGTGTAATGATGAAGTCCATAGTATACAACAAAATCCCCTAATTCATGATTTCTGATGGTATATGACCCACAGTGCAGTGATAGGATACACTAAGACCTAATTAAATGATAGTTTTTACATAAATGGTAAGTATTATACATGAATACCCCACACACATACACATGCCCCCGGATTCATTCACTGGACAATCTCTATGTGTTTGATTTTATTTTGTCCTGTTCATAAATTTTACAATCTCTTCAAGGCCAATCAATGTTGTATCTGTGAAGCATCTCGTATTTATCTTTAACTCACCTTAAATTTACAGATTATTTACTCAGTGTCAAGAGATGTTTTAGACACTATTGTATGGTCTATCTGATTTTCATAAGATTTGTGAGGTTGATGTTATTAACTTAATGTTAAATATGATGAAGCTGACCTTCAGTGGTGTTAACTGAAATGTATTCAGTATGCTCAATGTACTCATATTTACTACTTTTTATACAAAACTAGTTACTACTCCAGTTACAAAACTAGTTACTATCAGCATTATCATCAAGACCTAGTGTTCTGATCTATATTCTGTTCTCCTACCATGTCAATACCCAGTATTTCTCTGCACAATTTTTTTTAGTAAACTGCTTTATTGTTACTCTGATTAAAACACACCTTAGGCTTCCAGCTCATAGCAACCGCATTGAATGGCAGCAACACTCTGGCAGTTAATATCACAAACCTGGGTTGCTGTGGCTGGCCATCTTGGGTTTTAATACTGGGTTTACTACTGAAAAGCTGTGTGACCTTGAGCAAGTTGCTTAGCTTGTTTGTATTTCCATTTCTTCATATGTAAAATGGAGATAATCAGAGTATCTTATAAGGTTGCTTTGAGGCATAAGTGACTTAATACACATAAGATGTATAGAACATGTCTCCATAGGTAGCCTCTGAGTGGGTACCTGATGACATACTGGGAAGACAGCCAATTCCACTCCAAAGGCTCAAGTGCGAGGATCTTCATCAGCGCAGGGTGTGCCTGGCTCTTTTCTCTCCTGAAAACTTCCTTGTAGCCAATCAGTGGGCAATCACCTCTTCCTAGGGAAAGACCACTTTCCTAGAGTGAGAAGTTCAAGGGCAAGTTCTAAATTGAACTGCTTCTTTTCTGTAAGTCAAGCTCTTTTTTCCAAAATCCTTTCTCCTCAGGTTTGTTCACTGTCTGACTGTTCATTCAGCTCACATTTGTTTTGATCTCAGTTAGATTTCATGCTCTTTGTCTTCCCTAGAACCCTCAAACAATTCTGAGGACACAGTAGG